AAAGGATGAACGACCTTTAAAGACCACTGTATGGCTTGGCCTGGCTCCATTTCGAACTCCCGCAAAGGTTTGAGAGCTCCTCTTTTGAGCTGATAACCTGCCTGTAAAGCCCGAGCGGCAGTCTGCTCCTGCCGATGACCACGCCAGAGCGCAGCAGTGCCCAGAGGTCGCTTCCGGTCCAAGGCGGAAAGCTCGAAGGAGGCTGAGAACTTCTCGAGCGAGGCGCACCAGATCAACTGCACAGCTAAAGCCATGGCTGCACACAAATCGACGGGATATTCCTGAGCAAGCTTTGTACGAAAGACCATCTTGTTCCTCTTAAAATCCCACACTTTGCCCTGCAGCCGCTCGTGGACATGAGAGCCATCACAAGAGCACTGCACGAGGGCCAAGGCTTCGTGAGAGACTCGCAGGCGTGTCGGTTTCAGTGAAGGAGCTCCGAACATACATTGATCAAAGTCCACATCCACAGTGCGAGCATGCAGGCTAAGCGAACGCATGACCGGTGTGGCCCAAATAAGGCTGAGAAGAGGATTCTCGATCGAGAAGTCACCTCCTGCCTGGAAAACCGCGAGTGCGAGCTCGGCTGTACGCAGCAAAAAGAGATTTCCCAATAGCACAAGAGCTTGGTTGTCAGGAGACAAGCCGTCCAAACCCATGGGCTGAACATGCGAGCGCAAAGGCCGAGGTCCACCATCGAGCTTGCGAGCGGCTGTGAAGGTGTTGCAAGGGGTTCCGAAATGAACGAAGAACAAGGCACCAATCAGTGCGAGACACATGATCCGGTCCCAGAACTCAACGTCCAGCACATCTTGAGGGAAAGGAACCTGTGGAGAGCACTCAATGTCGATCGGTGGCAACGCAGGCATCTGGAGCAGCCTCACTTGTTCCGTAAGGCGAGCGCTGCCTGAGAAGATCTCCAAGAACCAAGGGCCGTGTTGACGAACGAGCTGTGGATCTTCGGGAACATCTTTCCAGCTGTGCCAACATGGGCAAGAGATCTCCTCACCACTCAAAGGGTTGGGCAGCGAGCGTGCCGGACCCTCGTCACTAGGGTGAGATTCATCCCCCAACCAATAACCCGGAGGCGGGGAGAGATCCTCCGGGTCGGGTGGAGCGAGCGCTCAGTGGTTGCCATGGTAGGGGTGGCCTTGGCCACACTCCACACAGGCATGCTTGTGTTTGCACTGGTCACCGAAGCGACAACCACTTGAACAATTGAAAAACGGACATCTCTTGGGGCCCGCATACTTGAACGAGTTCACCTTGGTCCATTCTGCGGATGGGATACGAGCGTCCCGTGCAGGTTTGCCCTTCGGAGTGTCCGCCTTCTTGCCATCCTGAGCTGCCCGCAAAGACTTGATCTGCTGTTTGGCTCGTTCCCGACGAGCTTTGTTCTTCCGAGCTTTGGAGGACGGAGCTGGTGGTGTCTTCGACCGCGAACGCTTCCTGCCAGTTGCTCGAGGCGGAGTCGAAGGGGCCCCACTGTTGTGGGCTTGCTTGAACTTGTCCAACTCCGCGCTCGAACGAGCATCATTCCAGAGCTGTTTGTGGTGGGCCAAGACTTCCAGCAAAGCATCGGAAAAGGTCGGATAGGTTTGCTTGTGATCCGAATTGAGTCGATAGACTTTCTTGCGAATCAGGGAGTCTGCTGAAAGGAGAAGTGCGAGACCACGATTTTCATGGCGCCATTGCATTCTTGCTGAGCCCGGCCTTCTGCGCAATGGACTCGTTGCGAGTCCGCATCTCACCCACTTCATAAAAATTCACAGCTCCATGAACAAGAAAATCACGTTGGAGTCTCTCCACGAACTTCCTATGGGGCTCTCTATGGTGGGGGAGAACCACATCAGGGCGTCGATCGATGAACAACTGACGAAATTCGGCGTGATCCTCACCCGGAATCTCTGCGACCTTGTTTGGATCCTCTTCCATTTTTGCCCGCCGAGCTGCGAAGTGATCCTGCATGGTGGAACATGTCTTCCAAACAGCGGCTAAGGCAGTAAGAGCGAGTTCCCGAGAGGGTTCCGAAGCACCGAGTTTGGTTTCATCAGCGATCATGACTTTGAGGGTTTGTTTGACCGCGATCGTATCTCCGAGCATGGAAAAAGTTTCGACCGTCAGCAACCCGGCGTCAGCCACCGTCTTACACAGATACGCTTTGGCGTCCGAAGATCTGTCGAAGGGGCAGATCCGGTGTGTGGTCGGCGTCGGTGTACTTGGTACGATCGACCATTGCGCCTAAATTGAGAGGCTAGAGCCGAGCGACACCGAGCCGAACTTCACAAAGCGATCAAACAACAGAACTGATTCTGCACTCACTCGAAAGACTGTCCGATCACAGTTGCGAGAACCGCTTGACTGACCAAACCCTAGAGTCTGACCCCCACACCTATGCACACTAACGAAAACTGCACAGTTTTCAGGCTGTCTCATAGGTCTGAGCAATCTCAGGGCGTGCACGGGAACATGCCTTGCAAAACACTGACAGATCCGGAAGTGTTGACCCCATTGAGCAACACTCATCGATCGTCAGCTTCTTACAGGCAACCATGTCGGGGTCCTCTTTAGAAGAACAGTGGAACTTGTAATCGTAATATGACCCCGGGGCTGGTTGTTTCAAAAAGAATTCAGGGGCCTCGTTATGGAGAGCGTCGGGCTCGTGCAACATGACGTCTTCCGACTCCTGAACAGGGTGATCCTGACTCAGGAGGTCACGCACGAGTTGCTGTACCATTCGTGCAGGTACGTCCGAGCGGTTTCTTGTGTACTTCAACACGAGCGGCCCCGGGTTTTTCCAGTTGGCCTGCAAACCGATTTCTTCGGTCGTTCTTCCTGCATGAACAGCAGCGTCCAGCAAGGTGACTCGAGCGGAGTGGGCGGTCAAAGTGGGGATGATCAACGCCACTTCTCTAGCTCGAGCGACAGACACTTGGATGGTGGGGGTAAACGTATCAAGAGCCTCTCTAGCCAGAACCTTAAACCACTGAACCGACCGAAGGTGATCATGTGGCGCCATGCGGAACTCAGAACGTGAATTGAGATCCGGAACCCAAAAATCACGATGTGAGGGCTCTGAAAAGAGAAGCTCCCAACCCGTCGCCGCCCAATCCTGGCCTGAGAAGCCTACGAGTGGGATCACGAACTTTGTTCCCCTTCGTTTCCTTTCCACTTTGGTTTGCCATGAAACCCCGAACAAACCATTGTCATTGAGCAGGAGGTCCTTGGGGTTTACGTGGATCCCGTCATCGAAACGAAGAGATGCAAAAATCACACAGACCCACCACCAGACGAAAAGCCTGGCCTGTTTCGGCGCCCCCGAAACAACATAAAGTTCGAGACACTTGACCAGCTCGATCGGCACGGGCACGGCTTCTTTCAGAGCCTTCGCCCGCTTCTCGACCACGCTGCGCTGGAGTGCCACGAGTTGAGCGTCTTCCAGGTCCGGGCACTCGATCGCTAGGCGAGATGTGATCCACCTTGCAGCCGAGCGGAACGACGGAATAACACTGGGCCCGCACTCGCGATCGTCAAGCCATAAACAATATTTCAGTATCTTGTCGACCGACAGAGGAAAAAGTGAAAAATTCGACGACGCGGCCCACAACTCAAACCTCTCCCACGAAGGAACGTACGCGGACATCGTCCTATGCGCGCTCGACGTAAGGACGAGGTGTCTCAGCTTCGCTGATTCTGCTGAGGTGAGCTCGCCACCGTCATCGAACGACTGGAAGAGCTTTGCCCACGGCCCAGCTCTTCGTCCAATCTCTTCCAGCCGAGCAGCCCAACGATGCTTCTCCGCTTGTTCAGCATCAAGGAGCGGCGTGGGGCCAGTCGAACCGAGCGGTTCTGACTTGAGCCCCTTCGGACCTTTGGCTTGTTTCTGAACTAGTGCTTTGATTGCAGCTTGCTTACGGAGCGCGTCCGAATCCGATAGCACCTTGTGTGCCCGAGCAGGTTCGCAGAGCCCAAATCCGAGCTGGGTCGAAGTCGATTCGAAAAACAGCTTCTCGATAGAGATGGCAATGCACCAGAACTGCTCTAGTAGGTCCGGTCGAGCTAGCAAAGCTTTGGCTACTTCTGGATCCAGTGTTGGCGCCCACTCTGACACTTTTTGAACGAACTCAGTTCCCGAAGAAACTTCGATCGAAGCGATCAGAGCGAGGTTGGACAGCGGCGACTCGATCAACGCTCTCGAAAAAGCATGAGTGAACACCGGCAGAGCCAACACTTTCGTGACCCACCTGTCAGTCCTTTGAGCCATGATCTACAATGGACATCATCTCAAAGGTCTGTACGAGCGATCGCCACGACCGAACCCTGGACAGGTTGATAAACACAAAATGAACACCCCGGGAGAAAGGCGAGAGCCCGCACATCAAACCCTCAAAGGTCAGAGTCCGGACTCACTGCCCACTCACCCGAGCCCCCGCAACCGGCTGGGAGGTACTGACCTCGAGCGGGCCAGCTTCGCGTGTGAACACTTCAGTTCAAGACAAGTCAAATGCTCGAGTCGAGCGCCCCCGCACCTACTCAAGCATAAGAGACTTGAACAGCAGTGACGTTGAACAAACACGAAACACACTCAAGATGCACAAATAAAATGCTCACGATCGCTTGTTGAACACTGCCTTCAAATCCACATGAACTAAAATTGAAAGAGGTTGATATCAAATCACTCTGCCGTTGACTGACGAACGTCTTATGGTACATGCTCTGAGTGCATGCTAGAGTGAACACATCCCCGGCGTCAAATACAAATAAGAACCGGTAGACGTGAACACATCATGCGCTGCACTCTGAGCTTCCGAAACTGCCAGGGCTAAGAGACCAACCTGCAGTGCACGAGAACCAACATCGATCGAACCCGCGCGGTTGGTCACACCCCTGCAGCCTCGGCCCACCCAGACGCCCGAGCAGATAATTTTTCTTGATCTGATATCGATCGAAACCACCGGGAACTAGGCACGATCGCGAAGTGATGCTCTGTGCACAACACTTCAAACATCGACCAAGTCGTCCGTACCCGGCGGCTGGAAGGAGGTCGAGACACCAGGCTCTGCCTCTTCCAGTGTGATCCTCACGGAGGAAGGTCGATCGACCCGGGCTGTTTGAGCATAGGCCTTCATGACCGACCTCGCCTGGTGCACAAATGCCTGAGGCGTGACTGCTGCATCGGCGATCACTTCTCCTCGGCGTTGATCAAAAGACCTACGAGGCGCGAAAACTTGGCGCCCCTCGGAACCAACGACAGCTGCCACACCCGGAGCTGTCAAAGAGATCTCTGTCTTCCGTGGGGTCTCAACGGAAGGCGCCGATCCTGCTGGCCGGCCAGCCAAGTCCTGCAGCGGCTCCCACTTGGGTTGTGCGATCGCCACGGCAGGGGCCCCCATGGTCGGCGGCAAGATCATCGTCGCCTTCTCCGTTGCTGGATCATGGTACTGGAGCGCGATCGCCTCTTTTGGAACAATGCGCTTCTCCATTTTCAGCAGAGGGCTCTCACACGTCAAATGAACATTGTCCTGGTGCGAGCTGACATCAACGGCCCCAATCCTCGGGCCCGTATCCTCCACCGACTCAGCCGTCACAGCAGAGGTCCAGTGAGCATGGATGCCTGCCACCTGTGCCAGTTGCGAGCCACGAGGTGGGCACTGCTATGGTTGAACAACTCACATCCAACCTGTCTTGAGCAGAGCTGAACCTGAACTCTAATCTGTCTGCGTCATGGCCAAATGAATCGGCCGATGACACTGCCGTGAGCCGGAGTTCAAAGTGGCAAAGTGGAAAATCCAGCGCCACGACCATGCCAGACTCACTGCACGCGTAGAGCTGGCCCCCGACCTCGAACGAGACTGCACAGACTCTCCAGCCCTGGAAGATCGTCACTGTGCAGGACGGTATGAACAACACGTCCTCCAACCCCATGACCAATGCATCGTTCACGTAGTTCACTTGCACTGTCATGTCACGATCGCTCTTGTAACCTCGAAATTCGAGGTGGATGAGCAATGCACCCTCCACCTTGAACTTCAAGTCCACCCAGGTCGCGGAGTCGTCCCTCATGATCGGCCATCTGAAAGGTTGGAACGCCTGGTGAGACAAGACGTCTCCTGTCAGCGAATCCCACCTTCCGCAAGGCACAGATCCGTAGGAAGTCATGGAGCCAACCACAATGAGCTTCTTCCCCTCGAGGGTCCTCATGTAAAACAAGGACATGTGGTATCCCGTGCTTGGGCTCCTGATCAACCTCGCATCTGACAGGACGTTGACGCCTGCCTGGGCGCTGATGAGAATTTCATCAAGAAGCCATCCCTGAAAAGGGCTCGAGATCCTCTGGTCGCGGGAGTCCACCACAAGCACTGAACGCTCGTCTGCACCAGATCCGACTTGCCTCAAATAAGGAGGCAGTGTGGAACTCAAGGCATTGTGAACACCGCCTAGTTGGCCAAATCTGACTGCCCTTGCCCCTCGGCGAGCTGCCCTTTCTTGTTGCCTTCTCAATTTGCGAGATCCGTACTGAGGGTTGGTACCGGCAAGAAAATTCTGAGCAGCTTGAGTGGCAGGTGCAGCTGCAGGAACTGGCGGTGCCGCCTTCTTGGGAGGTGGCGGTGGTGGAACTGAAGCCGATGGTTGTGGCTCCCTGGATCCAGCAGGCTCTTGGCTCGAAGGTTGTTCAGCTGGAGCTTCCTGCTCTTTCTGAGCTGTTGTGGAGCCACTAGTCGATGGAGCTTTCTCATCTCTGGCCACCTTGTTCATCAAGTCGATCGCAGGTGGCAATTCAAGGTCTCCAGGTGGAAGATCATCATCTGTTGGAGCCATCACTTTCTGCCAGCTAGAGGAGTTGGACACATTTGACACGGAATCCTCAGGCCTGAGCAGGCGAGATGCAGCAAGACTCTGCTGCCTGGTGAAAGGATTGGCCATGGCTCACGAAAATTCCCAGGCCTCTCAACAATGACCCACGAAAATTCGAAGAGAGCCTGGGTTGATCACCTGGAGCCTTGTAGCCAAAATGGCAAACACAAACAGTTGATCAACCCAAACATCAATAAGAAGACATCTGAACAACTGACTAGAGTAACCTGCTTATACCAGACCTACCTAACCAAATATAAGCAACCATTGCATCAGGCTAGATGGCTAGTCTAAAAGAAGCTCGTAAAGCAACTAACTACACCCAGATTCTGTGTAGATTCTATTTGTACTATATTTATACAATCACTGATACTGTGGCATGACGTCATATCCGACAGCGCAGGTGGATTGATCAAGTTGCTATTTGGAGGACTCCAATCAGAACAAAGCGGAGCTCGCACCGGCTTCTCCAGTACCTCACCTCAGCAGGTTCACAATCGTTGATCCTCATCGAGACCATGCATCCTTACAATAGGAAAGGTGGACCTGCAATCGAGTATACAGTTTTTGTTTTTTAAATGTTGTTTAATGGGCATACAAAGTATGTTTAAATATCTATGTCAGATTGGAGGAGCTGAAAATCAAAAGCACGTTCGTCCAAGTGTACCAAAAGCCTAAAGTGACAAAACCAGCCGCGTCTTTATTTTAACTGACCTAGTGATTGACACACCCAGTGAAGGAGGCCATTCGAGATCTAGTCGCGACATGAATGCAAAACAACTATTTAGTAACAAGGGCATCGCTAGTAGTAGCCAGAAGCTACTAGTTTCACCCAGCCGATCTGGGTCATCTCTGGACATGAACCGATGGCGCTGCGCGACTTCTGTACCAAGCAGGCTTTGAAGCCCCGGCTCTTGCTCGAACATCGTTGCTTGGTCAGGTGGTCTTTCCGCTCCCATCTTTGTAGCGAGCAATGGCCCAAACTAGAAACTTGGCTGTTTCAAACTGAATGGGCCCAGAAAAACGAAAGCGCCTTAAGCAAACAGTCAGGTCACGTTTCTCAACATCACCTGAACGGGACCGTTTCTTTGCCTTTCCAAGGTGCCATCAAAACCGGAAAAGTATACACCGGGCACGGTCACAAAGTCCTCCAGGGTAGCCATTTGTGTAGAAATGCAGTACAATAGAGCCATTCGCAGGGGTTGTGGAGCCGCCCAAGTCCCATATCTGAATACACCATTCTGTCAGTGGCAGGGAGTTGGATACTCCCCCTGCTTGTGACCGTGCAGCGCTTCTCGGTTGCTCAGTGAAGTTTAAAAAAACACCAAACTGGTTCAAAGAAGCAGGAAAGAACCACAACCTCTCCTCGGCCTGAAGGTAAAAAATACAGCTCTTGGCCAATGTCTCCACCTTCATCTCCTTTAGGCACTTCAGGCTGGAGCACTTCGTCGCCTCCATGCAGCGATGTCCAAAGGTCTCTTGGACCTCGGTCTGCGACGGGGCGGTTCTTTTCGGTCACCGCCGTGTTTGGGGTGATTTCAACGCCCCGTCACCGCCGTACGCATTGGTCGCTTTTTGAGATTTTTTGAGCAGTTGCTCCCAAATTCGTGTGGTATTTGCAGTGTTTCATGGTTACACAGGGCCACTGGGGGGAACATCATATGCATTTCAATGCCAGCGGGTTGACAACCGTGCTAGTAGTCGTGCACTTTTTCTCAAACCACGAAGAGTTTGTCTGATGTTGTTGCACTTGGCATGAAAGGTAACATGTTAATTTTTAATACAGCATTGTGTTATGTTGAATCAGGGAAACCTCTTTCTTCTTCGTACTTGTTCACAGTTCATTTTTGTGTCTTTGGACCGGAATTCCAGTGCGTTTCGGAACCTTTGCACTCGTCAGTGGTAGTGTGTTGGATATGCTTGGAAGGTGATGCCACATTCACAAACGCTTTGGAAGATGGGGGGCGCCAGGGGGTTGGGTAAAGGGGGTAATTACATTCGGTTGAATGTGCTTGGTAGATGATACTGCATGTACACACGCTTTCAAAGATCATGCACACAGGCTTTGGACAAAAAATGACAAAAATGTGGCTTCCTCTCTCGAAACCCTTGGAAATAACGTGTCGTCGTTGGCCTCAACTTACCTTTTTCAAAACTAACAAAACACTGGGTTAGTAACAAAGGCAGAAGACAAAGCAATCAGCAATGAAATCTTTATACATGTAAGTCTTACCCCATGCTGAAAGACCCCACTGCTCGACTATCGAAGGAGCTGCCAGCAGCAGCACTTCAACCTCATTTGCTTGATGAAACTTAAAGGGCTACTATTTTGAACCGTGGCTTCACTTGACACGCTTTGTAAATCATCCAGGCTGGCAGCTAATCTAGCTGACCTGGCTGACCCACATTCAGGTGAGCACACAATTGTGGGCAATCTTCAGAGAATCGCAGGTGGAACATACTCAATTGGCTGCCCCAAACAGAGAAAACCAGGGTCACTCCTCGAAAGTCCTCTTTTTGCCGCGTGGCCAAAGAGATGTCAGCCTGAAACATAGCCGGAATGTAGCCTTGGACAGATTTGGCAAAGCCCTCGCAGGATGGACTGATGCCGTTAATAACTAGTAACTAGTGGTCAGAGACACCTCATCCAATGCACAGTTTCAATCAGAAAACTCAGCAAAGAGAGAACAGCCAGGCGTCCGGGACTCATAGCAATCGCTTGGTGGAAAAGGCCGGTTGACATGGGAGAGTTGTAAAGCGCCACCACCGAGCGAGCTCCTTGCTGGATCGGGTGCCGATTTCGGTACCTTCTCCTCTGGGCTAAAGGATCGATTCCCACACGTCTCACAGACCAACGGAAAAGCAACGAGGATGTTTCTTAATTTTAAAGACCGGGGGCGTAGAGTTTAGCTAGTAGTAGCTAGGTAGCTAGTAGAAGAGGTAGCTAGTAGCTTAAGTGGCTACTACTTGGGATGCAGGATAGCTTGCGCTCGCACTAATGATTTGGTTCCTAGATTTTTAGGGAAACTTAACCTTTCTCAGGTCCGCTCGAACTTGAAAGGTCCATGCAGCTCCAAATGTGTTTGGGACTCAACGGACGCAACGCTCGGTTTCCGAGAGGGGCCGCTTCGCTTTTGAAAGTCCTGCAGATTGACCCCAGAGCGTCACGGACTCCGCGTCACCGCCGAAGCTGGCGATATTCTTCTGGACCCATTTCAGAGACTCAATCTGGTCTCGCAAGCCTGGGGAAACAGACTCGCTCAGCCATGGACAAAGCCTGCGAAACATAGAAAGGTGGTGAAAATGGGTTGTATCTTGCCAAAGAAGGGTGCTTCAAGGCAAAAGGCTTTGAAGACAGCATGGTCTTTTCTTGTTGTCATTTGCGTTGTTGCCGTTGCTGTTGCGGTGGTAGTGGTAGTGGTTGTTGTTGTCTTCGTCGTCAGAAGCTTGGAAAACAGAAACAAAGACGCAGTACTTTCACGCCTCTATTTGCAGGAATAGACTCGATGTCCGCTGGCGGCTGAAGGAAGCCAAACCTTGGAAGAGCGAACTGGATTTTTGGAAGTCTAACTTGCTGACTCACCTCAAAAAGAAGAAAGAATCTGCTAATCGCATAAACCAAGAATGTTAGCGGAGCCGTCAGCGCTGTTGATAAATGACAAACTTAAACACTCCAAATCATTGTAGATGAACGTAATCGGGCAAACATTCTGAACACAGTATCTTCAGTCTTCTGGGTGTGCACCAGGTGCCACTGGTTTAACCCAACCCTTGGGTAAAAGCCTTAGGAAGAAAGACGTTCGTTCTGCTCAATGGCAGCCCAAAAGGCCCGAGTAAATGGGTTCAACAAGAGCTTTTCGAACAGCTCCATCGTTCATGAGGCATACAAGTCATTGGTCAGTGCGCAAAGCGTGGTTGGAAGAACTTCGTGATTCTGAAGCAACAAAGATTTGGTTTACAGTACTTCATTCAGAAAAAGTCTGGTTTAGAAGTTGTAACAACCTTTTCCCCGCATTATATTTACACTGGCTGCAAAAATGCACATGTTGTGTATGTGAGACTGGAAAATATGCCTTTCATTTCTCAGGCCAGTAAGTACCAGAACAAACATTCTATCACAAACAATGCCACGTCTGTACTACAACATTGATTGACAATTACCTGCGAAGGTAGCTCAACGCAATGGATTGCAAACCCAGGAAAAGAATGATCACCTCTCACTCCCCAAGCAAATGGCCCCAACCATCAACACATAACACCACCATCCTCCACAGTGGGACTTTGGGCAGCAGGAGCCGCTGGGGGGGGGGTTTGTTGGTTGTCCTCCAAACTGGTTGAATTTGTGATCCCCAAGCCAGGGAAACAGTATACGAACTCTTGACTGTTGTTGGGATCATGGGTGGAGGATGCTTCTCCACAAACCTCTGTTGTTTTTGCCAAGGTGACAAGTTCAAGCGGTATTGGATGGCGACAACCACTGCATTGGCTTGATTGGCCTGCCAAAAGGGAGAACATGTGGCCGTGAGCACAAACCAACATAATCGATCAAGGCTAGGCCAGTCGTTTGCTTGGGCAACGCATGGGATTGAGAAACCTGCTCAGGTAGTTTATTAGAGTATTTTAGAACCAGCTTATTCTGACCACGACCGCAAAATGCAGTGCCCAAAACAGCCCAGCACATTCTTATAGATGTTTGTTATGTTTGTTCGTCCCTTACAAAACAATTGCACATTGCCATGACTTGAAAGGCCCATGAGGACTCACAGTATGGACAAAAAAGTCGCAGTCACTCAAACTGGCATCGGAACTTCTCTTCGATTTCTACACTTGCAACTTGTTTGCAAATCAGCGATACCAAATGTTGATTGCTTGACTGAAGTTCAGCGATGGTCCCTTTGGGCTACAGCACAGTGAGTTTGCAAAGTGTAAGCCCTGGCCACCCTTGCGGTGATTTTCCCCAGTTGTTTTGTCGGACTTTGCACAAGCGGGGCTCTTCAGATTTTCAACGAACACGTGAAACGCTTTGCACGGCAGGTTTACATCTGCAAAGTGTTACCGGAGAGTTATGCCAAGTGAAAGGCAAAAACAGCAAAAACAGTGGGCCTACTTCCCGCATAGACTGAAGTCCATTCAGGTCCATGACGGTGGTCAGCGCTTACAAGCAAACACAAAAGAAAGCAAGAAAGATCCGCGACTGCCCCCAGTTAGCTCGGTAGGCCCGACGGTATGAAGTGAACCGCACGGGCTCAAACCAAGTCCAATGACACGAGACAAACATCCCGTCAGATCGTTTTGCTGGCTTCGCACAGCGTGGCAGCTTTGGAATGTCCATCAAATCGCCAGGTGAGAGGGCGAAGTGAGGGACGTGATCCATCAGGCCAAAAGTGTCTATGAGGCCTGTGGCCTGTGAAATCCGTGAAGTCTGTGAAGCTGCTGCCTGATGTTGGCAATGGAGGCAACCACGAATCACTGATTGTTGCTTCCCTGCTTTCTCTTCAGGCTGTGGATAGTCCCAGCAAATCTGAAACAAGCAGTGCACCACTCAACAAAGGCCTGATGACCAATGACTGAAGGAGCCTCAGATGGCGTGTGCTGTACATTGTCCAGCTCTTCTGAAGGTTGAGGAGATGGAACACCATAAGCTCTTCACAAGTGCCACTCTTGCAGCTTCCTTCCACTGTCATGCCCAAAACTTGGGTTGTTCTCACTCCGTGAGTGGGTCAAAAAAACGAATTCACCGAACACGTGGCACAACCCTGCGGATCAAACGTCCTGGCTGCAGGCATTGACGGCTGCAGCAACATCCGGGCGTTTCCTTCTTCCGTTGCAAATGCGCTGCTCCAGATCACCTTCAGCGAACCTCCTGCCCTTTCCTTGATGTACGTATCTTTCCCATGCACTCTCAACTGGTGTGGACGCCACGCATGTCTGCACTCGACTCGACACAAAATCTAAGCTGCATGGGGATCATAGGATCCAAACCGAAACCATCTTCTTGAGGGGGATTGGAACACGCTCCCAACTGGCTGAAACGAACACGCACACGTTCAGGAGCCTGTTGAATCAGTGCTCTGCTAGCCTTTGTCCGACTGACCAATCAAGCGCCAGCATATGAGCGGTCGCGCGGAGTCTGTAATGTCCATGTCGGTGGCAGCTTGCAGAACCTTCCCCCCAACAGCGAGGAGTGCTGGTGCAGCGACATGAAAACCTCAAACAAACATTCAACCACAGAAAAGTCATCGAGGGCTTCCTTAACGCGGGGCAAACACTCAATGATGACAACTTAATTGATGTTCGCTTCAGGGACATGTGACTTCTGCGAAGGCTTCAGAGCTGAAGTCAAGAGGACCTGAAGCCTAACGGCGGGGTCTGCTTTCGGCTTCCTCAAACAAGGCACCGCACCAGCACTGACCCTGCATGGCCCTTGAAGCCGCGGTCCTTTCTCATCGAAGCAATCTGAGTCTGGCTCCGCTTCACGTAGCATCAACTCCATCCAGCTGTTCCTCGACAGCTTCGAGCCCACTGCTCTGACAGGCACTTCAAGCTCAGCCCGAAGAATCTGAAGTTGGTCCACCTCCGACTGGCCAGGATCCTTTTTGCGTAGTTCGGAGTCGCCCTCGGAGCTCATGGTCTGTCGCTTCGTCAGTCTCATGGAGCTATGTTCAGCAAGATTGGCACAGAAGCACCCAAACTCACGAGGATCAAGGCTGGGGAGAACGACGAAAATGCCGTGGAAGAAGAGGGCATTCCGGTCACGTAGTGATTCGCTTGAACAGCCTGACTGCTTCACGCACTTGCAGTGCCCCAGGTGGTGTCCAGCAGCCAGTTGCTTCTGGGCGTTTGACAAACAAAGCGCTCGCTTGAAAATGCACACACTCCCAATTTCGTTCAAGGTAACCTCCTCCGCACACATCTCTGACACCAGGTCCTAGCTGCTCTCCTGCATGGTGTTCCAAGCATTGACACCTATGATGACAAGGAACCCGTGATTCGTGGCTCCCTAGATCTCACGCCGATCCAAGTAGAAGAAGCCACTGCTGCCTTCCATCAGGCCCTTATGCCTCATCAAGTCTGGTCTGGCCCCCTGCCGGTATGTCTAGCAGAGCATCACCAAGGTAAGGTGAGGCGCTTACGGAGTCCCAGAGTCCCAGAGCGGAGGGCAATGGTCATGACAGCGTCCTTACGACCGCACTTGAGCATCACGACGAAGTTCACCTTTCGTATCATTCAGGGTCCTTCCAAGCGCCAACCCTTTGGCCGACTTCCTTCACCACCAGTTTCTCTCCACCTGGACAAGTCCTTTGAACGCAAGTGCACGAAGCTTGGTTGAGGTTGGTTTACCGCAAAGCGAGCTGCCAAGTTGAAACCTCTTGTCGTTCACAAACCTGGTACACACAGCCCTCCAAGGCCTTCCCGAACGGGGATCAAAGCATCGAAGCCTGACTCAGACCACCCTCCAGCATACCCAATTGACATGCATGCAACCGCTGCTTCAGCACGCAGTGGGAGAAGTGGGTCTCAGTCTCAGTGGAAGCTACGACGACCTTCCAAAGCAAGGCGCTAAAGACAAAGTTAAGCTAAACCAAAGTGCCAAGTTCTCGGCCAAGAAAACCGAAGAATTCAAGAGCTCCACTTGACGCAGCTAAGGGCCTGTAAGTCTGCCCGCACCGAAGGTGCCGAGGCGTTGTGGAGGCTCGCATCAACAGCGACCGGAAGAAGTCTGTTAGATTAATTCACGTCGCTTCGCGACGGTAACCGCCCGCACCGCATGGAAGGGGCCAATATTTCCACTTCTAAAGCTATGCCAGGCAATATGGAAGCTATGTTTGGCCACATCAGGTCTTTTTTATTCCAGTTTACGACGTTCAAGTCCCTTTTGAGCCTTCGTTGGGCCATGTTTACGACGTTCAAGTACCTATCTCGGCGAAGCATACTTGAGATAGTGACTTCTGGGGTTATGTTCGACCATATGGGAGCTATGCTCGTGAGTCTGCTCCTGACCACCATTCCTGGACCTTATCTTTCCTTATCTCTGCTTCTGACCAGCCACGTACCCGGACGTTCAAGTCCCTATCTCGCAGACACGTCCGTTAGATAGTGACTTCTAGGGCTATGTTACGCAATATGGAAGTTATGTTGAGCCCCGTTAGGGGAACCTGTTCAGCCAAATGGCCCGCCTCAGTCCAATTACACTTTACCGCTCAGATGATGCAGATGGATCATATGGAACCTATGCTCGTGAGAAAATGTTACCATTCCTGGACCTTATCTTTCCTTATCTCTGCTCCTGACCACCATTCCTGGACCTTATCTTTCCTTATCTCTGCTCCTGACCAGCCACGTACCCGGACGTTCAAGTCCCTATCTCGAGGAGACATGCTTGAGGTAGTGACTTTGCAGGCTTTTCCAGTCCCTTTTGAGCCCTCGTTGGGCCATGTTTACGACGTTGAAGTCCCTATCCCGAAGAAAAGCATGCTTGAAATGGTGACTTCTGGGGCTATGTTCGATCATATGTAGGCTCTGCTCGTGCCAAAATGTTACCGTTCCTGGACGTGATCTCTGCTTATCTCTGCTCCTGTGGAGCCAAATATCACTTCTAAAGCTATGCCAGGCAATATGGAAGCTATGTTTGGCCACGTTAGGGGGGGTTTTATTCCAGTTTACGACGTTCAAGTCCCTATCTCGCAGACACGTCCTTTAGATAGTGACTTCTAGGGCTATGTTAGGCAATATCTTCACTCTATTCCAGTCCCTTTTGAGCCTTCGTTGGGCCATATTTACGACGTTCAAGTACCTATCTCGGCGAAGCATACTTGAGATAGTGACTTCTGGGGTTATGTTCGACCATATGGGAGCTATGCTCGTGTGTCTGCTCCTCACCACCATTCCTGGACCTTATCTTTCCTTATCTTTGCTCCTGACCAGCCACGTACCCGGACGTTCAAGTCCCTATCTCGCAGACACGTCCGTTAGATAGTGACTTCTAGGGCGATGTTACGCAATATGGAAGCTATGTTGAGCCCCGTTAGGGGAACCTGTTCAGTCAAATGTCCAGATGATGCAGATGATGCAAAGCAGAAAATTGCATTTCTTGCATCACTAAAGGCTTCAAGATAGCAAAAATTAGCACGCATTTATCTTCCAGCACTTTAAGCCGGTTCCAAAAACGTGAAAAAACACAGGATTCTAGAGCGAAAGTGGCCCCCCCTAGCTAAAGCTATTTAGTACTTGCGGTACTTGCGGTATAGTGCGTGCCTTATAAAAACGCCTCGGCACCTTCGGTGCGGGCGGATTCTTAAGCTTTAGCCTGGGGGGGGGCCTTGTTTTTCTTCTAGAAAGGTGTGCTTTGCAGTGCGTTTTAAAAATGGATATGTTTTTGGAGTAGACCGGTGCAGATCGCATTATCGACATCGCGGACGTATGTGCAAGCCAAGGGACGCTGTACTATTGACATCGTGGGTGTGTTCGTCCGTGGGTCCTGCCCGACCGAAACACAGACCAGACCGAGACAGACGCACCAAGACAGACAGACCAGGACAGATAGACGGAGACAGACCGACCGAGACAAACAGACATCGTCCGCGTGTCCTGCTCGACCCAGCCAGACAGACTGACAGACCGAGACAGAACCCTCAGTGAAGGGGCTGATGACGCTTCTTCACGCTTGAGCCCGGTTAACATTTCCTCCCGGCTCCGAGAGCACAAGTTGCTGGTTCCCGGCTCCGCGAGCGCAGGTTGCTGCCGAGCCGGTAGGGTGCTAATGACACACTTTGCCCATGTATGTTTGCAACTATGTGTGTCTGTATGCATCGATGGATGTCTATGTCTGATTATGTCTGTATGTGTGTGTGTGTGTGTGTCTGTTTTCCCTTTACTCTGTGCGGGCGGCTTCGACCGCGAAGCGGTGTGAAGCCAAGTGTACGCACCAGCTGAAACCAAGTTCATTGACATGAGACGCTTTCATCAAGATTCACTAGAGTCACAACTTTGCCCCTGACACCGCGCCATGTAGTTGAGCTTGCCGTAATAGTCGGCCACACTGCCAGAAATCAGGAACCCTCCGTGAATGAAGACCAAGACTGGGCGCTTGCCTGGCCAGCAGAGCTTTAGAGATGGGAGATTTTTTGATGTGACTCGAAAAACAAAACTCAGGGAACCAAAGGCGCTAGTCCATGTTTTCCTTGTGTCCCCTGTATGTTTACCAAAATATGTGGATGCCATGTTTTGAGCCATGGGCGTTTGTCGTCCTCCCTACACCGCCCAGGGTTTGGGCCTCTGCACCAATTCATCCACAACCCAACATTTCCACACACAACACCAGCTCAAGGGTCTTCACCCACATGAAGATGGAACCCACCAGGCAAGACTGCTCCACCCCCTCTTTGGCTCAGAGCATTGCCCCACGCCACCAAACTCAGTGGCGCAGCCGCCACACATCCAGCCTTCACTGCTAGTACTAGTTGGCACAAAGACTGCCAGGGTGAGGCAATCCTGCATGGGGCAAAATCAAGGAGTTCTAGGGTCCCTAAAGAAACATGCCAAGCGACCCAAGGCAAGAAGGACCACCAACATGTACTGCACCCTGGATCTTGTGGTTGGACCCATTGGGATCACGTGCTGACAAAGAAGATTGTGCCCTCTCCTCCACGCCCTCCACGGAATCTCCGTGACCTTTCTGCACACAACGTTCATTGATCTTTGTACCATCAATGACCTCACCAGCTGGTGCAGTGTACCTTGGCATGACAGAAGCCAGGCAAACAATAGCGCACAAACTACGTTAGTTAGTTACATCAACGTGCATCAACGCCCAAGGCCCCCCCAAGGCGAACCATGCGCTCCTATCTCAGCGCCGTATCTCTCAGCTCAAATACTAGTAACAAGTCCATCGCTACTAGTAGCTTCTTGCTAGTAGCAGCGATGGCCTGCACCCTAGCAGCGATGGCCCAACCTAAATACTAGCTTCTTGCTACTAGTAGTAATTCCCTTGTTACTAGTAGCGATGCACTTGCTAGTAAAGAAAAGCCTCGGCACAAGGATGGAGCTTCAAAGCGCTCCGCCGTCGCATAGCGCAGATCGCCATAGGCCACTACATCGCCGTCGGGTGAAGACAACACTTGGCCAAGCACCTGAGCTCCTGGAGGCCGACGCCGATGTTCACACCCGGTCTGTCCCTTCCACCAAAGAAACATTGTAGCAAAAGGTCTTCCAGAGCTGTTCATCTCAAGTTCAGCACAGTCATTGGCTTGATAAATCTTGAACTCTTGAGGAACGTCTTCTTTACATTCAACCATGTGCCAAAATCATGGGCCTTTCAGGATCCTCAAGCTCACAACATTCCAATCGAATAGCCAAACCAGCAGGCAATTGATCGAATGTGCTCGGTCGGCCATGCAAAAACACTGAGTGACTTCGCTTCGCGGTCCTGAGGGCAAGGTGATTGTGTGCCCTTCCAAGTGCTTCCTTCCTCAGGAATAAACTCGGGTCCCATTTGGAGCTCCTTAACACTGTTTTGCGCCCTTCAAGCAAAAACGGTAAGTTTGTGGTCAAAAGAAAGATAGTTAAAGAACGAACTCTCGGAGCCTGTAGTTTCTCAAAAGAACTCCGTCAGTGTCGAACTGATTTCGAACTTATTTGCCCCCAAAGATCGGA